CACGACGACAAACTACACCCTGTCCGCTTTTGCGGACGAGTTCTCAAAGATGCCGAGATGAACTATCACTCGGGAGAGAAGGAGGTACTAGCTTTGTTGCTGAAGCTCAAGGTTTGTTTCTCCCAGCTGGCGAGAAAGACACTGCATGTGTACACCCGATTCTCTACACTTGGATGGGTTCACAAATCTATGTCGCTTTTCGGTCGACCAGTGCAGTTTGCGGTGCAGCTGTCACCATGGCAATTGGAAGTGCAGCGAGTACGAGAGAAGGACTGCGTATTTACTCAGTTGCTCCAGTCAACGATCACTAACTTCGTGGACCTGGATGACTCGCTAGCCCTTGTGGCACCACCTACCAAAGGTTCACCGAGTACTCGGTTGGACCGAAGTTTGCTGTACGCTCAGCTACCCCATGACTATGAAGGGTTGGTGGTCTCATTTGATGGTTCCGCTAAGAGAAGAATGGTGGCTACGGTAGCTGCTCATGGATAGTGTGGAAGCTTCCAGAGTGACAGATAGTGATCACTGCGAGTGTCTATCTCGAGTAAACTACGGTGAATATGGCTGAGTATAGTGGCATGAACCATGGAGTGCTAGCAGCCCAGGAACATATTGCTGAGGATTTAGTCATCGTTGGAGACTCGAGGTTGGCAATCCAGCAATCACTAGGGGTGATCGCATGCCGTAAGGATTCGTTGATGACACTCCTGAACCGCCACCGAGAACTCGTTGCGAAGCTCAAGTCAGTCCGATATCTGCATGTGGTACGCGAGTATAACGCAGCGGCTGACTCGCTCGCTGGTGAAGCATTGGAGTCGAAGGGTTCAAAAGTGGTGCTCAACGACCACCGCAAGATCAAGCTCAAGGAGCTGAACAGAATCCAAGAAATGATCTATGAGCCGTCTTCAGACGGCATCAAGGTCGAAAACACGAGTTCTGGGACTTTTGTTCAAATTCTAGAAGGAAAGACACGTCACATTCACGATATGGACAGCGACATCCTGCTACAACGCAAGACCTTTGCTGATTTTGCGCACCAAGAACGCGCCGAGATCTCAGCTACAACTCGAAGTCAGACCAAGACCAAGAAGAAAAGAGTGCACTTCGAGGACGAAGTTCCTGAAGAAACGACTAATGCTGAGGCAACTGAGGCAGTCAACGAGGACTCGGAAACGCAAGTGCAACGACCAAGTGCTGAAGTTACGAACTAACAGCCGACGACATTGACCCGGTTACACTGCAAGAAGAGCGAAGACGCCGTATCGCCAAGACCCAGGACGAGGAGCTCAGGTTGTCGAACCTGAAAGCTATCCTGAGAGGAGAAACCACAGCGATGACTTACAAAGAGGCACGAGAAGCCTGGAAGTGGGCAGACAACTTCGTGCTGTCAGACGACAATATGGTGTGAGCAGAAGAAAAGTCGAAGAAAACCTGCCCGAGATGTCGTTGAGGCTTGTGGTGTCAACCACAATGATCCAAGAGGTGCTGCACAACTGTCATGACTCCATTGAAGGAGGACACCAAGGTGTCGTCCGCTCTTACCAGAGAGTAAAACACGACTACTACTGGATCGGTCTCTACGCAGATGTGGAGAAACATGTGAAATCGTGTCTCGACTGCGGCTCGAGTAAGAGTTTGCCGCAGCTTAAAGGCTACTCGCCTCGCAATGTGCTCGCGGAGCGACCATTCCAGGTGGTGTCGATGGATTTTGTGATCCCTCTGCCGAGATCTCGTCGGGGGAACACTGCCCTATTGTTATGGCAGTGCTCGTTTACTGGGTTTGTGATCGCTAAAGCGATGTCAGATACCGATGCCCTGACTGTGGGCCAAGGTGTTCGAGGAATGTATCTACAGACGATTTGGTGCTCCGTCTCTTATTCGTCACGACCGAGACCCACGCTTTATGAGCGAGGTCTTCCAGGCCTTCGCTGAGTTAATACAAGCACGGTCAAGGTCAACACTGAGATATCGCCCACAAGCAAATGGACAGCAAGAGCGGTCGGCCAAGAAGACCGTGATGCAGTCGGTCAAGGTCTATGTGGAAGACCCGTTGCAGCAAGACTGGGATGAGATCGCTGAGCGACTAGTCTTTGTGATCAACAACACCCATGATATGACCAGGAAAGAGACACCATTCTACTTGGTACATGGATGGGATGCCCATACGACACTACGAGCAATGGCGACCTCTCTGAAGCGAGGTGTTGGTAAGCAGACTGAGGCACTAGCCTGGCGACGAGAAATCAACCGCCACCAGCAGATTGCTCTCAAAATGGCGAAAGAATACCAAGCTGTGGAGAAGGCCCGACGTGCTAGAATTCATAACGAGAAGCTCAGTCGCAAAGAACAAGCCGCGATACCAAAAAATGTGAATGATGACTCGCCCGACGATGACTCGGAACTGAAGTCTCTATTTCGACCTGGAAGCCGAGT